GAATCTGACAGCTATACTTCTGGGAGGACTGGCCAAAACACTGTCCAGCTTCAAAATGAGCGCGCGTGATTAGCGTCCATCCCGCCCTCTTTTCAGCCACTACGTGCCACTCTAATCTCTTCTTGCCTCCCCAGAAATAGGGTTCTGGGACACATCACGGCCTGGATAACCTGTGTCAGTATCGAGGCATTTACAGACGGAATCAGGATTCATGGGATGGCGTTCTTATCCTGATTACTCAGCATATGGTCAGTAATGTGCAGACATCCTGGATATGTTGTAGCTGTACTACTGACACAGAAAGGACATCTGTCTAGCATTAATTGGGTTGGACAAAAAGCTAATGCTCCATCTGAAAAAAAATCTCAAACTGCAAGGCTGCTTGAATTAAGGAATTACACCCGGAACCAAGATGGGTAAAGCCCTGTTTGCCTGTTTGTAGCAGTAGAAAAGGGGCTGCGGTGGCTCAAGTGATTAAGATGCTGGACTGCAGACCTGAAGTTTGGCAGTTCGAGACCCGAGTGCCGTGTGACGGAGTGAGCTCCCGTCTCTGGCCCCGGCTCCTGCCAACCTAGCAGTTCGAAAGCAAGAAATTGCAAGTAGGTAAATAGGTACCGCTTCGGTGGGAAGGTAACAGCATTCCGTGCACCTCGGCATCTAGTCATGCCGGCCATGTGACCACGGAGAAGTCTTTGGATCGCACTGGCTCTTCGGCTTGGAAACAGAGATGAGCACCGCATCCCTAGAGTCGGATTCGACTGGCTTTCGAGCGAGGGAAACCTTTACCTTTGCCTAGCAGCAGAAAAGACCAAGAGCCCAGTAGCACCTTAAAGAAATAACAACATTTGTGGCAGGGTGTGAGCTTTCGTGAGTCAAAAGCTCATCCCCTGCCACAAGTTTTCTTAGTCTTTAAGGTGCAACTGGACCCTGAACCAGTAAAACGTTTATATACTTACAAGCTCCATCAGGTGTCTGAGGTTTCCAATTTCTTCTGGTAGTGAGACGAGCTTATTATTGCTGGCTATCAAAACTTTCAAGGGGATGCTGCACAAGTGGACCGGCAACGTTGAGAGCTGATTCCGACTATTCAGGCAGAAAAGGGAAACCACTTTTTAAAAACATCGTCATATATCGCGATTTTACATGCTGCAGAAGGAAGTCAGAATAATATAATGCCAGACCAGGGGTCCCCAACACTTTTGAGCCTGTGAGTACCTTTGGTGGTGGTGGGCGCAACTACAAAACAGCTGCTGCGGGGGGGGGGGCGAAGCCAGCCACACAATGGCTGCTGCAGGAGGCGGAGCCAACCGTGAAATGTCAGGGAATGGGGGGGGGGGGCTTCCATAACCTTAAAAATTAAATTAAATCTTCAAACATTTCCGGCAGCTGCTCTGTTTAACAGGCTGCCTTTCAAAAGGAACATATTGTTTTAAGATATTTTCTTGCACACAAACCTTCTGCCTTGCAGTAAACACAGCTGTGTCGTGGCAGCCTTAAGAAATCTGTACGGCCAATCAGATTTCCAACAGCCAATCAGAAGCCCCGCTGGGCCAATGCCCCACATGACCCCACCCACTTTCTGACAGGCACCGGGAAAAGTGTCAGCGGGAGGCAAGGTGCCCACAGCGTTGTGTTGGGGACCCCCATGTGAGACTATAAGAACATCAGACCAGTTTGGGAACTCCTACGCCTTACCAAATTCCATTGAATTGCTGGTGCCTGAAATCAAATAGAGTACTAGTAAAAAACTCTCATCTTGAACACACATGGAGCTGTCTGATACTGATTCAGATCTTTGGTCGATCAAGTTCAGGACCATCCACTCAGACCGGCAGCGGCTCTCCAGGGTCTCAGGCTGAGGTCTTTCCCATCACCTCCTACCTGATCCTTTTAACTGGAGATGCTGGGGACTGAACCTGGGACCTTCTGCATGCCAGGCAGAGGCTCTTCCACTGAGCCACAGCCCCTCTTTACAGCTCTGCAGGGTCTCAGGATGAGGTCTTTCCCACCACCCCCTGCCTGGTCCTTTTAACTGGAGATGCCGGGGACTGAACCTGGGACCTCTTGCATGCCAGGCAGAGGCTCTTCCACTGAGCCACAGCCCCTCTTTACAGCTCTCCAGGGTCTCAGGCAGAGGTCTTTCCCACCACCCCCTGCCTGGTCCTTTTAACTGGAGATGCCGGGGACTGAACCTGGGACCTCCTGCATGCCAGGCAGAGGCTCTTCCACTGAGCCACAGCCCCTCTTTACAGCTCTGCAGGGTCTCAGGATGAGGTCTTTCCCACCACCCCCTGCCTGGTCCTTTTAACTGGAGATGCCGGGGACTGAACCTGGGACCTCCTGCATGCCAGGCAGAGGCTCTTCCACTAAGCCACGGCCCCTCTTTACAGCTCTCCAGGGTCTTAGGCAGAGGTCTTTCCCATCACCTCCTACCTGATCCTTTTAACTGGAGATGGCGGGGATTGAACCTGGGACCTTCTGCGTGCCGGGCAGAGGCTCTGCCAGTGAGCCACAGAGCCCCTCCCCAGTCTTCTATATCAACCTGTGATTCAGAGATTTATGCAGGCAGAGGTCCATATAGGCCTATTTCATATAATACCCCTGTATACATAGATGGTGCGACCTCATTTGGAGCACTGTGTACAGTTCTGGTCACCACACCTCAAAAAGGATATTACAGCATTGCAAAAAGTGCAGAAAAGGGCAACTAGAAGGATCAAAGGGTTGGAACACTTTCCCTATGAAGACAGGTTGAAGCGCTTGGGGCTCTTTAGCTTGGAGAAATGACGGTTGAGGGGTGACATGATAGAGGTTTACAAGCTGATGCATGGGATGGAGCAGAGGGGCTCTTTAGCTTGGAGAAACGAAGACCAAGGGGTGACAGGATCGAGGTTTAATTATGCATGGAATAGAGCAGGTAGAGAAAGAGGTACTTTTCTCCCTTTCTCACAATACAAGAACTCGTGGGAACAGTGAAATTGCTGAGCGGTCGGGTTAGAACAGATAAAAGGAAGTCCTCCTTCACCCAAAGAGTGATGAACACATGGAATTCACTGCCACAGGAGGTGGCGGCGGCTACAAGCATGGATGGCTTGAAGAGGGAATTAGATAAGCATATGGAGCAGAGGTCCATCGGTGGCTATTAGCCACAAGGGATAGACAGGAACTCTCAGTCTGGGGCAAGGGATGCTCTGTATTCTTGGTGCTTGTGGGGGGGGGGGACAGTGGGAGGGCTCGTAGTGTCCTGGCCCCACTGCTGGACCTCCTGATGGCACTGGTATTTCTGGCCACTGTGTGACACAGAGTGTTGGACTGGAGTGGCCATTGGCCTGATCCAACATTGGCTTCTCTCTTATGTTCTTATGAGCTATCGTGTGACGAATGCAATGATTATGCAACAGGGCTGCTCAAAGCCATTCCAGCAGAATGAAGGCTTCTGCTGCTGTCGTCCAATCTGGGATGAACAGGAAGGAAAGGGCTGGATGATGCCGGAGCCCAGATTTCTTTTTGCGTGCTTTCCCCCTCTGCCGGGTCAGAGAGGAGGAAACGGAAAAAGACCAAAAGCTGGGCTCTTGGGAACTCCTTTTCCTGACATGTGTGAAGATAATCTGGCTCGCTCCCAAAGTACAGTAAAGATAGTGGCTGCTCCTGACTGATTCACACTAAGAAACTAAGGATGGGAAGTGTCACCTTTGGAAAAACAACCAGAAAGGGAATACGGATGTTTTGCTTGTAAAACAATTGCAATTTTAGTAAATCTAGTGTGTTTGTTTTGTTTATCTGAATATTTTTATGCAGCCTTTCCACTCAGTTTAGAGTCCCCAAGGCAGCCGACGATCAAACATTAAAACAAAGCTTTTAAATATGTAATATGAAAACAATAATTAAACAGACCACATTCCTAGTTACTATACACACACAGGAGGGGGGGGCAGTGAGGGAATGCCAGAGAACATAAGAACATAAGAGAAGCCAGTATTGGGTCAGGCCAATGGCCCATCCAGTCCAACACTCTGTGTCACACAGTGGCCAAAAATACCAGGGGCCACCAGGAGGTCCAGCAGTGGGGCCAGGACACTAGAAGCCCTCCCACTGTTGCCCCCCCAAGCACCAAGAAGACAGAGCATCCCTTGCCCCAGACATAAGCACATAAGAGAAGCCAGGGTTGGATCAGGCCAAAGGCCCATCCAGTCCAACACTCTGTGTCACACAGTAGCCAAAAATACCAGGTGCCATCAGGAGCTCCAGCAGTGGGGCCAGGACATTAGAAGCCCTCCCACTGTTGACCCCCCCCCAAGCACCAAGAAGACAGAGCATCTTATCCATAAGAACATGAGAGGAGCCAATGCCGGATCAGGCCAGTGGCCCGTCCAGTCCAACACTCTGTGTCACACAGTGGCCAAAAATACCAGGGGCCACCAGGACGTCCAGCAGTGGGGCCAGGACACTAGAAGCCCTCCCACTGTTGCCCCCCCCCCAAGCACCAAGAATACAGAGCATCACCTGCCCCAGCCTAAGAGTTCCTATCTATACCTTGTGGCTAATAGCCACTGATGGACCTCTTCTCCAAACATTTAAAACAAACACGATAGAATTACATTTTAAAACCGTTAACCCTCCCTCCCAGATACGTATCACTAAAACAATTTTTAAAAACCCCAGAGTTAACACACATATTTATTTATTTATTTTTCCTATTTATACCCCGCCCTCCCCCGTGGGCTCACAAAGCATAAAAAACGTTGATTAGGAAGGATTACTGAGGAAAAGCCAAAACAAACAAAAAAAGTCTTCACCCACTAGTGGAAGACAGAAACGGAAGAAAACAGATGAGATCTCCCAGGGAAGAGACTTCCAGAGCTTCGGTGCAACAACCGGGAAGGCCCTCTCTGGGGTTGTCACAGTGGCAAGATCTTTTTTGCCCTGGAAGGCCACAGCTGGCTCATTGGCCACAGCTGGCGAAAGGTACATTGCTGACACCTGCTTGTTCAATAGGAGGCCTGAGTCCGGCGCCACCCTGAGGCCACCAACCTGCTCCTTTACAGGGAGTGCGACTCCTTTACAGGGAGTGCGACCTCAACTGCTGGGTCTGTCCTTCTGCCTGCCAGCCGCACCTCTGTTTCGTTAGGATTAAGTTTGAGCTTATTAGTCTTCGTGGGATACAGCAGGTAGAGAAAGAGGTCCTTTTCTCCTGTTCCCTCTAAGCTGAGATAGTGTGAGCTACCTCACAGTTTTTTAGCCTCCGGCTCACACATTTTTGTCTCGGCTCGGGAAGGGATGGCTACAGAGCAGACTAATGTATGCAGCAGCCAAATTGCGCTCACAACTTTAATGCCAGTAGCTCACAAAGTAGAAGTTGTGCTCACAAGACTCCACAGCTTAGAGGGAACATTGGCCACAAGGTATGGATAGGAACTCTCAGTCTGGGGCCAGCGATGCTCCTGTCTTCTTGGTGCTTGGGGGTGCAACAGTGGGAGGTCCTGGCCCCACTGCTGGACCTCCTGATGGCACCTGGTGTTTTTAGCCACTGTGTGGCAGAGTGTTGGACTGGATGGGCCACTGGCCTGATCCAGCATTGCCTTCTCTCATTTTCTTATGTCCATCCCAAAAGCGCCTCCTGGCAGCGTAGTATTAGCCTGTCATTTCGCAACCTAAAGTTGACCTGTTGCTGACATGAGCACGGAATGACAGCTGCCTGCGACCAGTGAAAACCAGATGCGTGACAGGGATCTAGAATCTGGAACCGCTGAGTCTGCATGACATGTTGCAAGAAGGCCTCAGGTGAACAGACATGTTCTTATTGCCTGTGAAGCAGAACGTTGGGTAAGGCTCTGCGGTATCACGGAACAAAAAGCAGCCAGATTTTCCTTGTCTCCACTCTCCGTGACGAAGTCTTCTGAACAAGCTAACCGGCCTGCCTCTAAGTCCACCTGCCTTTGTCCTCCCTAAACCAGCTGCCTGAGGAATTCAGCCCGAAGATATCTGAAGTAAAAGTGACGTCATCTACAGCTGGGATTCCCGACGCTACCTACATGAAGGAGCCTGCCCAGCCGTAAAACCAAAGTAAACATCGAGCACAAGAAATAATCCTTAAACAGACTCAAAACAAACATCACGGAACGGGTTATTATACCGCTCTTATTCCGAGGGCAGGTCAGATCCCCTTTGGGACTTCCAGCGGGAACGGGAACATTCAGCAAGAGAGGAGATCTACGGCACTTCGAACCCTGACATTTCCAAAGTTTAAAAAACGTAACAAGAACTAGAATGGTAAACTGTTGAAGACAAGCTTGCCCCAGAACGGCAGTGACAAAAAAGACTAATGCGATCTTGGGGTGTATCAACAGAGGCACAACATCCAAATCGCAAGAGGTCACAGTCCCGCTGTCCACTGCATTGGCGAGGCCGCACCTGGAGTATTGTGTCCAGTTCTGGAGACGGCACTTCAAAAAGGATGTGGACAGAACGGAGCGGGTGCAGAGGAGAGCAAGGAGGATGATCGGGGGTCTGGAGACCAAGAAGCCCTGTGACGAAAGGCTGAGGGACTTGGGAAGGTTCAGTCTGGAGGAGAGGAGGTCGAGGGGGGATGTGATGGCTCTCTTGGAAGTGTTTGAAGGGCTGTGTCACTTAGAGGAGGGCAGGGAGCTTTTCCTGTTGGCAGCAGAGGAGAAGACTCGCAAGAATGGGTTGAAATTAAGGGCGGGAAGGTACTGGCTGGATATTAGGAAACACTTTTTAGCAATCAGAGTTGTGCCGCAGTGGAATCAGCTGCCTCCGGAGGTGGTGAGCTCCCCCTCCTTGTCTAAGCAGTGGCTGGACAAACACTCGACAGGGATACTCTAGGGCTTGTCCTGCATCAAGCAGGGGGTTGTACTAAGAGGCCTATATGGTCCCTTCCGATTCTGTGATTCTAATCTCTATGAAAATCGATGTGTCCCAACAGGTTAAAAAAAAGAGAGACCCTCTTGCAGACCACACAACCACGGATGGAAATTCTGGAAGCTTCGGAAGACTCCCTGTGCAAGCTTTAATTGTTGTAGGATGCTGTTGGTGAAACCTTAATTCAGGAGTCCCCGACCTTTCTGAGCCTTGTCAGCCCCTCTGGAATTCTGGCGGGCACGGTGGGCGCAGCCACGGAATGCCTGCTGTAGGAGGCGAAGCCAGTCACAGCTTAACTTCAGTCACACGGAGAAGATCCTTGAGCTGTGGTGGTGGCTGTTGCCCAAGCAGCATTTCAAAAGATTTGGACAGCCAATCCGATCTCCAGGGGTCAATCAGAAGCCTTGCTGGACAAAAGCCCTACCTGGCCACATCCACTTGCTGGGTGCCAGAAAATGTGTTAGACGTTCCCATTGTGCCCATGGGCACCATGTTGGGGACCCGTGTCATAGTTGTTCTGGGGGGGCGGGGGCGGCAGCAACATAGGGGTTTCAAGGCCAGAGATGAACAGATGTGGTTTGCCATTGCCTGCCTCTGTGGAGCAACCTGTCAGCAAGCTGCCAAAATGTTCTTTTCCCTGTGCACATGTGCATTCCTTCCTTAGCACAGATGCACATACCTTCCCCTATGGCTAATTGCCGTTCTCCTGCAAACTGCACTGCGTATCTTTCAAGGCCGCTGGAGGAGTCGCTTAGCTCATTGCTTTGGCTTTAGGCAGGCCGAGCCGTGGGAAGCTCGTACCTGTTTTGCTTTGGAGTAGCAGTTAGTTCCCAGGCCTAATGGCGCGCGCGGGGACCATAGTAATTGGGCAACGCTCATATGAATGTACTATAACTGTTTTGTGCCTAGTTCACCCCTCTTTCCTAACAGTGTTCCTGTCCATGCATCTCCAGCTTCAATAAAGTAAAACCTTCTTGCAAGTGTGTGCTTCGATTGTTGCTGAGGGTCCTGACACAACCCTGGACTTCCTTGGTGGTCTCCCATTCAAGTCCTAACCAGGACCGACCCCTTCTTAGCTTCCAAGATCTGATGAGATCAGGACATCCACACCAGGGATACCGAATCTTCGGATTTCTGTAATGCCAATGTAGACCACTGCTTCCCTTCTGGAAGCTAAAATGGTATAAGAGCTCCTCCAATTCATACTCTAGGATTTACAATTTAGTCTCCAAGTAGAGAAGTGGGGGCCGGAGGGGGGGGAACAGAATCTAAAACCTTCACAACAAAGTTCTGTTCTCGAGCAGCAGACATTATCCAACGTCAGCTGGCTGCACCGCACAATAAATATTTTAAAATGAACAACAATGGGAAGTTATCCTCTGACTCATTTCCTACTTAAAAAAAAAAACTGACTGTAAAAAAACCAACAACACAAAGGACGCTAGACAAACCGAATGGGCCAAAGGACAATGCCAAAGCAAACCCACAGTGCTTATTTTTACACTGTTGTCATTAGCTGAGCTATGCAACTCCTTGCGGCCTTACTTACGGCCCATGAGAATTCACTGCGTTTTTACAAAATACGGCACATGGGTATCAAGTCAGAGACTGAAGTTCTCACTGGAGTGTAGCTGTATACATGGTGCTCGGCAACGTTTAATGTGAAGCCGTCGCAACAAACTAATTAGGATCTCTGTGAATCCTCGCCTCCCCCCAGTTCTTCAACTCCCCCCCCCCAACTCCCCCTCAAATCTGTCCTGATAAACAGAGGGAGTCGCTGTTGCAGCCTCTGATACAGCAGAAGGAACTGCCGTCAGAACAGGAAATCCAGAGGGGGCTGCAATACTCCTTGACACACAGCCAATCTGTCTACTCAACCTCGGCCCTCGAAAACTGTACTGGATCACAGAAATGGGAAGCGCCATTTCCGTCGATAGCAGAACATTCCTACAGCGCAGCACCTTTGGACAGGGATTATGCTTGACGTAGCCAACTTCCATCTGATGATTCAAGAGCTGCATTACATACAATGCTGCTACTACTACTGTGTAATGAGGGACGGTCACAGTTACCTGATATTCAGAAACGTTAATGACTGCAGGTTCAGGATGGCTTCTGGAATATAGCGAATACAGTTCTGGTACAAGTTAAGGCTCTCAAGGGAAACGAAGAGACAAACTTCGGGCGGCAGCTCCGCGAATCTGTTCCGTGACAAATCTGAAAAGAGAGGCAAACGGAACGAGAGTGACCATCGGTCTTGCTACTTGCAGGACTGCTTAAAATGAGGATCCGACGGACTCCAAATTATGGGTTTGCAAAGAACAATAATTAGACACAGCAGAAGTAAACTGAACCCATGCCGCAGAAAGACAGATTTATGGGGCGTACTTATTTAAATCTTTTTACCCCACTCACACAAGCAAAGTTTCTCGAGGAGACTCACACAGCGTATGCTTCTGCATACGCCCGGGGTTGGCCAAACTTAAATGAGACTGCCAAAAATAAAAACAAAAAGGGGGGAAAAACAGAAACTGATAATGATATTTATTTGTCCAATGATATTTATTTGTTTGCTAATGATATTTATTTGTCTAAGAGAGTCAGAAAAAGGGAGATGGAAAGAATGAAAGAGAAAGAAAGAGAGAGAGAGAAACAAAGAAAGCAACTAGATGGGAGGGAGGGAAGGAGAAAAAGTATGTCTCCCCTTCCTTCACTTCCCCAACTGCACTGCTGGGAGCCACACAATATGTGTGAAAGAGCCATATGTGGCTCCCGAACTGCAGTTTGTCCACCCCTGGCATACGCATACAAACAGAAGAAGAAGAAGAAGAGATTGGATTTATACCCCGCCCTTCACTACCCAAAGGAGTCTCAGAGCAGCTTACAATCTCCTTTCCCCTCCCCTCCCCACAACAGACACCCTGTGAGGCAGGTGGGGCTGAGAGAGCTCTTGACAGAAACTGCTCTTTTTCAAGGACAGCTCTTGTCAGAACTGTGGCTTGCCCAAGGTCATCCAGCCAGGTGCAAGTGGAGGAGTGGGGAATCAAACCCGGCTCTCCCAGATTAAAGTCCGTGCACTTAACCACGACACCAAACTGGCGTAGGCAAGAGAAGAAAGTACAGAAGGTGTTTTGTTACCCAGTGCTTCGTTACCCAGAATGCCCAGCACCGCCCAGAGGGCAAGCTGATTCTGCTCAGCCACCGTACCCCCATGGATCTTTGGATGGATGCACGCCCAGGCCTGATGCCTCAGATTGTTGCTGGGCTTCTGACAACTGGCACTACTAGCCGATGTGATATCTGGGTGTTTCCTCCAGCTGCTAGGAGCCATTTGTGCCAGAAGGGTCCCCAGGAAGCTGGCCTGCTGGCTGCACAGGATGGCTCAGGGAAGCAAGATCCCGCCAGGCACGGGGACTGTTGCCACGACTTCCCAGCGGGGTGTTGTGGTTGAATCACGGTGGGTCTGTCCGGGCACAGGGCAAGGGCAGAGCAATAAGCTTTGATACTGGGCACGTTTGATTAACCAGGGTACCCCCATTCCCCACAACTGCTGGATAAGGAAGCTTCTACTCCATTCCAAATGAAGCTGGTTAAGTCCCGTAAATGCAGAGACAAAATGTGATGATTTATTGATTGATTTCCGCTTATATTCCGCCCTCCCCACAAACGGGCTCAGAGCGGATGGCAAGAGGAGTTAAAACATTTCGCAATAAGGATTACAACAGTTCATAATAAACCTTCCAGAATAAATAGTTAAAACACATTAAAACAAAGCTATAAACAAGACAGAAGAAGAAGAGGAGGAGGAGGAGGAGGAGGAGGAGATTGGATATATACCCCGCCCTTCACTCAGAGTCTCAGAGCGGCTTACAAACTCCTTTCCCTTCCCTTCCCCACAACAGACACCCTGTGAGGTAGGTGTGGCTGAGAGAGCTCAGAGACAACTGTCCTTGAGAGAACAGCTCTGACAGAACTACGGCTTGCCCAAGGTCATCCAGCAGGTGCATGTGGAGGAGTGGGGAATTAAACCCGGTTCTCCCAGATTAGAGTCCGCGCACATAACCACTACACCAAACTGGCTCTCAGTGGTTAAGAAGGAGGAGGAGGAGATGGTTGAATTTATACCCCACCATCCTTCACTACCCAAAGGAGTCTCAGAGCAGCTTACAAACTCCTTTCCCTTCCCCTCCCCACAACAGGAGACACCCTGCGAGGTAGAGGTGGGGCTGAGAGAGCTCTCTGGAGAACTGCCCTTGAGAGAACACCTCTGAAAGAACTTGTGCCTGACCCAGGAATTTGATATGGTCGTCATAAAACTGGGGCCTCTAGGCTGTAGGCCAGACTGTGAGTCTTCACCTGACGGGCCCGTTTGAAGATGGAAGGTCCAACAGGGGAGGCCAAGAGTTGAAATAATTGGACGCCAGCCGCCTGATCCAAAGGCCTGGCGGAACAGCTCCGTTTTACAGGCCCTGTGGGGCTGTAATAGACCCCGCAGGGCCCTGATCTCCAACAAGAGCATGTTCCACCAGGCCGGGGCCAGGGCAGAAAAGACCCTGGCCCTGATCGAGGTTAGGTGGATGTCCTTTTGGGCCGGGGACAACCAGCAGATGCTGACGTGCTGAGTACAGGGCTCTCCGAGGCACATATGGGAATTACAATGGAGCAAACAGAAGAGGAGGACCATACCAATACAGTGTCCAGGAAGACCCCAACAGGCCATCTCCCAGGGCCTCCGCCGCCCCTTCCCCTCACTCCTAGGCGTGCTAAAAACATACGGATTATCTGACCACTGCCACCGACAACCCTGAGAGTAGTTCCTGCTAAAGGAGCCATAAATCTAGCACTCTGTACCAGCAGTGTTGCTCACAAGCTCTGCCTAGCCGCTGCACCAGCCCGCTGCGGTCCACAAAGCCGGTGCGGGGGCGATCTATCGCAACGCCGCACAGTCACGCTATTGTGTTCCAGAGATGGCGAGCCGACCCGCCTCCCCTCCCTGTTACCGCACTCTTGATAGCGAGCCTGAACAGGGTGTGGTACTTTCCCAGAGATCAGAATCACTCAAAATACGAGAAAGTTTAATAAATGGATAAAGGAGATCACATGGGTTTTGTTCCAGCATTTCAGGCTGAGCAAGGGAACAAACACGGTCCCTTTCCCCTGTACCTTATGCTCAATTCATATCCTGGTGATGTTTAAATAGGACAGGCTAAGCTTGACTTGAAGATGCGGTAGTTTAAAGTTCAGCGTTACTTTTGGCTGGGACTTCTCTGCATTGTCCCTGCTGTGTAGACCAAGATGGGGGGGATGGAAAAAGTGCAGAAAAGGGCAACTAGAATGATAAGAAGGTTGGAACACTTTCCCTATGAAGAAAGGTTAAAGCGCTTGGGGCTCTTTAGCTTGGAAAAACGACGACTGAGTGGTGACATGATCGAGGTTTATAAGATTATGCATGGGATAGAGCAGGTGGAGAAAGAAGTACTTTTCTCCCTTTCTCACAATACAAGAACTCGTGGGCACTCCATGAAATTGCTGAGCAGTCGGGTTAGAACAGATAGAAGGAAGTCCTTCTTCACCCAAAGAGTGATGAACACATGGAATTCACTGCCACGGGAGGTGGCGGCGGCTACAAGCATGGACGGCTTCAAGAGGGAATTAGATAAGCATATGGAGCAGAGGTCCATCAGTGGCTATTAGCCACAAGGTATAGACAGGGACTCTCAGTCTGGGGCAAGGGATGCTCTGTCTTCTTGGTGCTTGCGGGGGGCAACAGTGGGAGGGCTTCTGGTGTCCTAGCCCCACTGCTGGACCTCCTGAGGGCACCTGGCATTTCTGGCCACTGTGTGACAGAGTGTTGGACTGGATGGGCCTTTGGCCTGATCCAACACTGGCTTCTCTTATGTTCTTATGTTCTAGGTACAAGATCACTCCTTCATGGTTTTTGCTCCTAAGTCAAGAGCAGAAGGCAAGAGTAACAGCATAAGATAACGTCTTCCTCCTGAGTTTAAATGATTTACCAGGTGTCTGTCCCACCTGGAAAGCCTCTGCATCTTCCTGCCCCAGAATAATGTACTTTCTTGCCTGGGGTCCCCAAGATAGCATCCAACTAGGGTTGCCAGCTCTGGTTGGAAAATACCTGGAGACTTTGGGGGTGGATCCGGGAGAGGGCGGGGTTTGGGGAGGCAGGGGGAGGGGCCTCAGCATAGTCCAATGCCATAGAGTCCACCCTTCAAAGCAGCCATTTTCTCCAGGGGAGCTGATCTCCATCAGCTGGAGATCTCCAGGCCCCGCCTGGAGGCTGTAGCAACCCGAACTGCAGCGTTAGGAAAGTCAAGTAATGAATGAATATACGCAGCAAGAAACTTTTGTGAATTAACGTGTTCTATTTGTAATTGTCATTCTATAAAGTCCATAAAAAGATAAAGGTAAAGGTTCCCTTGCTCGAAAGCCAGTCGAATCCGACTCTAGGGTTGCGGTGCTCATCTCCGTTTCAAAGCCGAAGAGCCAGCGCTGTCCGAAGTCCATAGTGTGCTATTATTACATCCTTATCAGGTACATGTTTTCAATTAATGCAGTTTTAACAACTATCAGTCAATTTCACATCAATTATTTTTAAAAGTCAAGCCCCAACGGGAGTTTCCAGAATTGCAAGCCCGCTTCTACTTCCAAAAGGGGCGGCGGGGGGGGGGGGGGGGGTTT